CTGAAATGGAATAGGTTTGTGCTTGCTAATGGAGACCCACACTAACAGCCATCTAGAAACTCAGCACTTTCATTGTGTATAAATTGAATGGAGAAGCTGGGTATATAGTACACAGCTGAATGAGGAGGCAGGTGGTGGTTTAGCTAATCTCAGCTTGCTTCGTAGGGGAGAAGTCTCAGGCTGTAGTTGTCCCACACAGAGCAGGAAACTGTGGCTGATAGTTAAACTATCATCTTTCACGCTTGAAGCAGAGGCAGCTTTGCCAGTTCCCATGAGACCCATGATTGGGGTTCTTGACATGGATGTGCTCAGTCAACAACATTCATTCAAGTAGCCATCTTGTGACAGACTGAGTGTGTTTCTTTTCTTCTTCTTCAGAACCTTTGTGTATTTGATAGCCAGCCCCGATATACTAATCTGTGATATTATGTCTGATCTCTCGGGGTACTAAGTGACAGTAAGTGTATTAGTGCTAGTATGTAGTGCTAATTGTACCTGCTTTTCTTGATCCAAATTGCCATGTTGTTTTTAAACACTGAGATGTGGTGGTGGTTTGGATCTTTAAGATTATGGCAAACAACATCCTGTAGAATTCTTCTTAGAAAACTGGAACTGTTTACTTACCTGTTACTAACCTCTCCTCCAGTTTTGCTTGCATCAGTGAATCTGATTGCTGTGGGTACCATGTGTAAGTAGAGGAGTTTAGTATTTGTTCTTTTTCACTTAGCACCAGCCCCTCTGTGCTATGGAATATGTTTCTTTGTTTTTTAAAGTCTGAATAATACTTTGTTTTATAGATAAACATTTTGTCGTTCTATTCACTCACCAGTGGTCATTTTAATTGTGACTTTTAGAGTTTGTGGAAATTTCTGCTGTAACTATTGGAATGCACATACCCTCTAGGACGCGGCAGTCTATATTTTGGGTGTGTACCTAGTACAACTGCTCATTCATAGCCTCTGGTTTTAATTTTTTGACAGATGTTGATGCTGTTTTCTTTTGCATCCTGACCATCACTTACTGTTTGTTACTTACTTGTTGCTTTTGTTTTGTTCTGAGTTTTTTTTGTGTTTTTATTTATTTGGGGTTTTTTAGAGGCTGAATTTCTTTGTGTAGCCCTGACTGTCCTAGAACTCCAAGGCTGGCCTGCCTCTGCCTCATGAGTGTTGGGATTCAAGGTATATACCACCACACCCAGCTTTAATTTTTATTTTAATAGTGGGTTTTTATTTTTAAATTTGAAGGGTAAGTGGTAGCTTTGGCAGTTCTTTCTATTGTCAAATAGTGCAAATTGTTGCCATTGGAGGGAGATGTTATTTATGAATAAGGAAACAGATATGAAGGTCATATTTATTAAGTGACAGAAATAGGACTGATTAAAAGAAATGCTTTGAGCTCTTTGAATCAGTGCTCTTTTTTTGCCTTGGATGTCCCTTTCTCAAATTTGTGCAGTGCCTACCAAGGGCAGAAGAGGGCATCACATCCCCAGGAGTGGAGTTACAGACCCTTGTGAGCCACCATGGGGTGGGTTCTGGGAATTGACTTGGATCCTCTGGAAGAGCAGCCAGTGAGTGCTCTTAACCACCAAGCCAAATATTTCTCCAGCCACTGACCCAGCATTCCTAACCACTGAATTACATTACTTGAATACATGGCTTCTGAACTCACGTGGGTCTAATGGAGGTTATTTCCTAGTATCATTTTTACTATAAAATTTTACAGTGGAGAATGGTATGTATTAGTATGATTTGATACAATTTATATAACTACACAAATACAGTTTTCATTCATCTTGTATTTTGGTTGACAATTTATAAGATATTTTCTCCCCCCTCAACAGCTAGAATGAAGTTTTATTTTGTTTTGGTTTTTTCCTCCTCTCAACACCTAGAACGCTATTTAAAATTTTCTACATCCTTGTGAAAGATTGGAGCCCATTTTACAGTGGTTGAAACCATGATTGAGTTTAAGGTATCCAAGTCTCCACACCAGCTTTTTTTTAGTAATATATCCTATGCTTTCCTACTAAGTTTATCAGGAGGTAGTGCTGTGTATTCACATGGTTAAGTATACAGCTTACTACTTTATATCTTACCTGGTGCCCTTTGTACAAAATGAAATACCTGGTTCGTTTTGTAAACTATAAGCTAATTAGAGTTCTTTTCTGCTTCTGTGGAACCTTTTTTTGTGCTCTGGCTTTTTACTGTTGTTTCTGCCTCCATTGTTTTAGGCCTTTTTAAACGTCTGTTTCATGGCTTGAAAGGAACCTTGTTTGAAAATTTGCTTTTTGGTAAGACGATTACCTTGTGATTAGGCTTATTTGAGTTCTGTCCAAACATGTTCTGATAGTTACTGAGTGCTTAGTTTATGGATATATTGTTGTTGGGGGCTTTTTAATAAAAGCGTGAGTTTAAGTTTTTAACGTTCATTTCTTGCTTACAGTAGGATAATTGTTTAATATTTGTAAAGATCTTTTAAATGTTTTTGTTTTTTATTCCTATTGTAAGAAATGAATGAAAACATCATTATAGATACTCATGTGAGAAATTGAGTTTAATTAACTCTCTTGACAGCTTAAACCACCAACTTTCACAGATATTTAGAGCATTATAACTTGAGCCATAGTGAGGTCAGCCAGGAAAGTGTAGGTGAGTTAACACATGACTACTCTGGTTCAATAATGTATTGGTAAGTTGTTAAAAGTGTGGAACTATTGATCTTTTAAGAAGTCAAGTATTCTTTTGTACAGAACTAAGTTTTCAGACTTACATGTATATAATCCAAAGGTTGATCTTAGAATTTGTGCCTAAATACTCTACTTGTTTTTCTTTCCTCTGGGGCTTTTAATTTTTTATTACATTTACTTTGTATATGTATGGAGGTCAGAGGAAAACTTGGAGAGGTGGGTTCTCTCCTACCTGTATTGTCCTGGAAGTGGAATTTGGGTCATTGATTAGACTTGGTTTTGAGTACCCTTTCCCAGTGGGCTATCTCCAGGAACCCACCTTTTGCTTGCTTGTTTGCTTTTTAAAGATGACCTGTTTCTCTTTGTAGAGCACAAATTGACCTACAACTTGGGATTCTCCTTCTTTAGCCTACTGAGTGTTGGATTTATGGGTGTATGTCAACCTCACTCCACCCCCAACACCTGTTTAAATTTGAAAGCAAACATTGTTTATAATGAACAATAGATAGGGATAGTAGAACTGAACTCTCCCTCATTTTGCACACTGATTACTTTATGAGCCTATAGCCACTTAACCCTGACTTGCTTTTCTGTAGCATGACTTTAATACCATTTCTTGAGTAATAAAATCATATGTTCCACTTTTGGAGGTATTCCTTGACTCTTTTTTAGGTTAGCTTTTTCAAAAACTATACTTTGGCATAGTGTGTTTTGGCGCCTTTAGACATGATTTTGTATTCTGAATTTGATCCTAGTAAACAGGTGTCTTGGTGCATTGAGCCATCAGGGAGGGGGAAAAGGATGCATTTTGCTAAAATGGTAGAAGCTTTAATGTCTGTAGGTAGAGCCAAGTATTCCTTAACGTTTTTATCTGTTGGAAATAATAGGGAGCCCTAGGCCTTAATTAGTTATTAGAGGAAGGCATTTGGCTTAAGAACACTTGATTAAAGGTATAGATAGACTGCATCTCTTTACCCAACTCTTACAGATCTCTTCATCATAATTGGTATTTTTAAACAAGTAGTACTTTTTTTTTTTTTTTTAATGTACCCAGTCTTTATAGCCTGAATGGAAAAACCATTCTTTCTCAGATACTGTATTATAGGTGGTGTGTTGGCAAGTTGGTTTGTAAAGTGAACTATGAGCAAAGTCAGTAGTAGGATGTGACTCCCTACCCAGTTCTGTGAAAGGATAGCATGAGATGGTAGCCATGTTTTTGATTCCCACTCTTACCCCACCGTCTGCCTCACAAGCCTGGGGAGGTTCATGTTTACTGTTAAATGCTTGGCCAAGGGATAACTCCTAGGAGAGAACTATAAATAGATTTAAAATATGGTTTATCTTTATGCTGATGAAATGGATATTCACTTATAGAACTTACAGATACTTTTCAGAATATTTCACATTTAAAATGTCTGAATTTTGGATTTGAAAGGCAAGTTACAAGATAGCAGTTTGTTTGCACTTTTGCAGTCAGTAGTTACTAATGTTGGCCATAACATAACTGCACTTTGAGATTACAACATGAAAAATTAGTCCTTAATGTATTCTGCCTTTTGGGGATGGCTTTTTAAGTCCTGGCCCTTTTTAAGATTAATAAAGGGTCTTTTTATATTAACATGGAAACATCTGCAAAAACATAGAAATCTTACAAGGATTTTAAATGGTTAGAACTACATTATTACTGTATTATATAAAATCAACAATATAGTAACAAGGAGGTTCCTATTGGAGTAAATTGTGAAAATGCTCTTGTCCTACCTCCAGGCTGAATTCCTTCTCAGTGCTAATAAGCAGTAACCAAAACACTTGGCATTCCCACCCAACAAATATTTCAGTATGTCTTACCTTATTGTCCACTCTTACTTGAAGATCTTGTGAACTAGTTTAACACATGCTGCAAATTTCAGCCTTTGTCTTACTTGATGCCATACATGTCAAGCATTTGTTAAAGATGAGTATTACTACTTTTATATAGCTACATTTAAGTTTCTGGGGTGTTCTTTATACTTTTTGGCTCTCTGGTATATGTCTCCTTATAATAATTTTATAATGCTCCATAGGCTTATGATGTAGTTGAAACAGGACTTGTTACAGTTACCAGAACTTGCCATTTTACCCACTTGTAGCTGTATAGTAGACAATTTTTCTTTTAATTTGTTTAGTAACCATGGTAAATTGTAAAGATTTAATTTTATATAATTTATGAGGTTCTAGAAATTCTTAAGTGCTTAAGATAATGTGTATTGTAGGTTGTGGTGATTATTTTATATTTACATCAATTTTGCTTAACATTATTTTGTTTTAACTGCAGGACCGTGTATATGTACAACAAAATAATGTAGAAAATGTCTACAATTTGGGATTAATAATTTTTCGAGATCAAGTTGTACGTTATGGGTGTATTAGGGATCATCTTCGGCAAACTTTATTGGATATGATTGCCAGAGAGCGGAAAGGAGAAGTTGTAGACAGGTATGCCATTTATACTTACTTTTGTTAAGAACTGACTGATATATCATAATTACATTAACATAATTAAAAAACTTCAATGGTTAATACTCACTAAAATCTTCAAAGGCTTTCACTGTTTTTAGTTACCCAGAATTTAAGGACACCATCTTAAGCTTTTCTATTTTTAAAAATAAGTTGGTTTTCCATTTTGGGAGAAACAAAACTATCATTTGATTCTTTTTGGTGTGTAATGAACTTTTAGTCTCTTAGATTTTTTTTCTCCCACTTTAAGGACTCTTTTTTAAGTTTTTTCTCCTTTTATTTTTGTTGTTTTTTTTTTTTTAATATTTTGTTTTCTTTGCATTCCTGAGAATTGAATCTAGGGTCTCGCTGGTGCTGCATCTGTAGCCTACAACATCATATTTTAGTAGCAGGGTCTCAATATGTTTACAGACCAATGTTGGACTTCTGAACTCAGGTATTTCCTCTCCAGTCTCCCAAAAAGCCTGAATCATAGGCATATGCCATTGTGCTTTGGTGAGCTTTTGTCTAACTTTTGAGTCTATTGAATGTAGCCTAAAATACCCAGAACCACTTCTACGTCTTACCTTATGCTTTTCTTGACATGGCAGTACCACTTGAAACATAAGTTTCCTTCTCTGGTTTCAGAGGATCAGTATGCTGCCAACATTCTTACTGATTGAACTTGGTGTTAATCAGGATTGCCCAAAAGCCATTTTTTTTTTTTTTTTTTTTTTTTTTTTTTTTTAATCCTGTATTGCCTTGGTTTTAGGTATAGGTTGTCCTACTGTCTGACTTACTAAATTACCTGTTTACCTTTTCCTTTCCAGTTGTATCCCATTGAACTACATCTGTATTTTTAAGTAAATAAAAATTTTAAGCATATTTTCTTTAAAATTTTTGTATGACAAGGGTAACTTGATAAAAAGCTGCATAGTCAAGATGTGCTTTTTGATTAAAATTATTCTATATCCATACTTAATAAATGAGTTTCCTATGGAAACTGGGCACTTTGATAAAAGCTTAATGTTACAAAGTTATTTCTCTCAACTTTTGTATATTTTACATGTCTTTAATATATTTGATTACCAACTAATTAAACTTCTTTTGACAGAGGAGCAATAAGAAATGCTTGCCAGATGTTAATGATTTTAGGTCTCGAAGGAAGATCAGTCTATGAGGAAGATTTTGAGGCTCCTTTTTTGGAAATGTCTGCAGAATTTTTTCAGGTAATCAATGATTATAGAGATAAATGCTCTTTTATGGTAATCATACATTATTCAACATAGTTAATTAATCTGAACATTTTTACCTATTTTGGCTAAAACCTATTGGAGAGGGGATGAAAATTAAAAAACCTTTTCAGAATCCCTACTTCATGTTCCTTACACACCAATGAGCTGCTTATTGATAATAGAAAAATTTCTACTTTAAAATTGTACGGTTAAAAAAAAAACCCTAAACTTAGAAGTACCCTTAAGATTTTATTTTATTTACTTAATTACTATAAATTCATAGATACTGTATCATTAATGAAATCTCTTTACAGGCTTTTTTCTGTCAGTTACTAATACAATAAATATTAACAATATATGTGACTCCATATGGCATATTTGTCTAACTGATTAGGAAAGTAAAAGCTGACCTCAAGCAAGTAAAATTGTTAGAAATCACATGCCACCCCACACCAATTAAATTCTAAAAGGGAGGCTATATTGGAACAAATTAATGATGAAGTGTTGTAGTAATACCGAGTACTGACAAATGTAAAAAGAGCTGTAAGATACCAGTAACCAGATACCCTTCCTTAAACAGTAACTTTGTTTTACAGAGGAAATGTAGTGGTGTCCAAGAAGATGTCTTATTACAGTACCAAGTTTCACTCTGAAAATATTGGTTAAAAATAAATAAATAAGAAAATTGCTATTCACTTAGAAAAGTTTAATAATTCATAAATGCCTTAGACATGTATTAAAATAGAGTTTGATAGGCAGGGCGTTGGTAGCACACACCTTTAATCCCAGCAAATGGGAGGCAGGTGAATCTCTGTGAGTTCAATTCCAGTCTAGTTCCAGGACAGGCCCCAAAGCAATACAGAGAAACCCTGTCTTGGAAAACCAAATCCAAAAAGAAAAAAAAAAAAAAACAGTTTGATAATTTATTTACAAACAAATAAAAATGGAGTTGCTTCCTTCTTCCAAATTGGTTTGTACCTGTCCATTAGGAAAATTTTTGTGGCCACATTGAAGAGGCTGGATCATGCTTTATGGGTTTTTATAATCTTAGAAGCAATGCTTATTTTTAAATAATATTATCAACTGGTTTTAGTGCTTACTTAGAAACGCCTATACTATTTATTATGAGTGGAGATGGTCTTGCCAAGTTTGTTAGTATATTAAAGTCTGTTATTAGGAGTTTGATTTTAAAGACTAAAACTACTTTTGCTAGGTAGAGAATGCTAATTTTTTATATAATATATATCAATGTGTTTTATTATATAATGTATTGGTTAATGTCACTATTGGGTTCATTAAAATCTTACTGCGAAGGCACTAGTAAGTATAGTGTTTGATAGGCAAGATTAATAGTTAACCCCCCCCCCCTTTTTTTTTTTTTTTCTTAATTTCAAAATGCATCTATGTGTTCTTTAAGCTTGGGAGTGTAGTGGCAGGAGAACTTTAGTAACAGTGGTGTGTGAGCAAAGCATATGACAGACACTGAATCTTTCTACTTGTGGTATACAATAAGGAAAAAAGTTCCCCTGCTGACTTTGGTCAGATGCTTAAATTTGAAAGTAGTACATTAGCAGGTCTTTAAAACACTGCTTATAGATAATGTGTTAATTTAGTTTTGTGTAATTAAGTGCTTTAAAGGCTAATTTAGAATAAATGAATCTGTAGTAAGAAACTGTATGAAATGTCTTTAGCTGTTATACTTATTGGTATGTTTCATTGTAAATGTTACAGAAACCCTGTTGGAGTAGACACAACACATTTTTATTATGCTTTTTAAAATTCTTAATTGCAGATGGAAAGCCAGAAATTTTTAGCAGAAAACAGTGCTTCAGTATATATAAAGAAAGTAGAAGCTAGAATTAATGAGGAAATAGAGCGGGTGATGCACTGCCTTGACAAATCCACAGAAGAGCCCATTGTGAAGGTGGTTGAGAGGGAACTCATTTCCAAGCACATGAAGACTATTGTAGAAATGGAGAATTCTGGGCTAGTACATATGTTGAAAAACGGAAAGACAGAAGGTAAAGTGTTACCAGTTAAAAATCAACCTTTATTCTGCCCTGCTAGTCACTTTTATTTCTAACTTATGAATGTCAGTTTTCACAAAGCTTATGTTTAAATCCAATACTTTACCTCAGTGAGTGACCATGAAGGTGGGGTTAATAATTGTATTATGCATGAAAAATTAGGTATTTCTAGTGAATTCAGTGGCATTTTCCCATGCTTTTTATATTTGTTTCCTCATTTCATTTTCACTAGTGAAAAAGATTAGGAAGTTTAATGTTTAACCACAGGCCAGTGACTTCCTCTTGCATTTCTATACTTTCTTAAATACCAATTTGAGTGCTCTGTAGTCTCACATCCATGCTTACAAGGTGTTGGGTGTGTGTGTGTTTGTGTTTGTGTCTGGCTGCCTGCCTGTGTCTGTTTGTAGACAAGTTTAAAAAAAAAAAGTTTGTTTGTTTGTTTTTTTTTTTTTTTGAGATAATCCAATAACTATAGTAGTCATTGTTAACTTTACCATATTTGCCTGAAAGGGTTGTGAAAATGATTGGTATTCTGAAAGAAATTCTTGATTTCTGGTCCATTGCTTTGAAGCTTTCATTTTACATGACAGTGGGGGTGGTTTGTTTTCAGTAGCCATTATTGTTTTTCTACTTCCTTGATGAAAAACAAAGTCCTTCCTTGGCTTATGTTTTTAGTTACAGTTTTAAATTTGTGGTAGATTAAAAAAAAAAAAGAAAAACTATGCAAAGTTACCGTTTTTTAACAAGGGTGCTTTTTTTTTTCCTCTTAAAAAAGGAACTGTTCTTGTAAATCTTTTTTTGAGAAAACTTATAGTTATTTGCTGTGTCTTCTAAAGTACAGTACTCTTAGATACTTGTCTAAGTCAGATGCTGACATTTTTCAAAAACAGCCTTACTAACATTTATTTGTGAGTAAATAGACATGCATGGAAGTTGGTTCTCTTTCCATTATGCCATCTTGTGAGCCCTGGGAGTTGAATTCATGTCATCAGGCTTAGCAGCAGGTGCTTCTAACCCTGAGCCATCTCACAGGCTTCTAACAAGCATCTTGCAAAGGAATAGATTAACAGATACCTGCTACTTTGAAAAAGTAATAACTACCAGTGATGCCAAAGGAAAGAGCCTGGCTGTTTGAATAAACTACTTTTATGGAAATTGAGCTTAGGGTCTGGGAACTGTTTGAAATCACTGGACATGTTTGAATGACATTTCTGTCAGCTTCATGGAGACCTGTCTTGTGAGTATGTTAGGACTACCCAATATGACAAGCACTCTAAATAGCAGAATAGCTACTTACCATGGTTTTGCTCCATTTAGTTCTTAATATTGTTAACAGGTAGTCAGCTTTTAAATTAGAATTTTTGTTTGTTTGTTTTTCTAAATTAGATTTTTAAATTGTCTTTAACTTCCCTCCCCTCCCAGTAGGAACTTAATCGAAGAATGTGTAATTGTGATGGGACCTTGCTCATGAGTAGTTGTTGTCAGACACAATTTCATCACTGTTAATTCTAATAATCAGGAAGTGAAAGAACAGTTAGCTTAATGTGAGTGGAAAAAAATGTTCATTAATCATTAGATACATACAGCAGAATGAACTAATAAGTTCAAATGGTGTTGCTTTATTGGCTTAATTTTTAATTAAGTATAGAGAAATCATAATTTTTGAATGCCAGACATTTTTCGGTTAACTTGTTCACATTTTTTTTTTTTTTTTTTTTTACTATTGCATATATTTAACTACAGTGAATCAGGCAATACAGTAAGATTATATTGATTAATACACAAATGTGCAAATTAGTAAAGTTTAAAATGTAGGAAGAGTTTGCTACAGGTATTTGGCACGCAGAACTTGTTTGTAAATTGCTATTGTACTTTATATTTATGACTTTAATATGGAAAATTTTGGTTATCTTATTAAACAAACATGATTTGTCATGTATAGGTTACCTTGGGAATGTATTGCAGATAAGAACATGTGTTAATGAACTTGAGATTAAGTCTGTGAATCAAATGTTAATGACTTTATGTAAGCTGTGCTCATTTTTAAAACACACCAACTTTAGTTTTAGGTACTAATTTGCTCTTATAAATAAGGTCCAAGGTTGAAAATTATGGTTTGTTTCTCAAGTCTGGCCTCTTAACAGCTTTTTTAAAAATAAATAACAGAATGAGAATAGTATGTGAAGATTTATATAAATTTTCAATATTCATAAAGTTTTAATTGAACAATCACAGTCGATCATGCTTTCTCTTTGAATAGTTGCTTACGATGATGACAAAACTGATTTTGTGTCCGATTTCTTATGACCTACCAGCCTAAAATATGTCTTGACTAGTGCTGAATAGAAAACTTTAGCTGACCTTGACCTAAAAAAATTGTTGTTCTAATGCCATTTTCAAAAGTTACAGTAAAAATTTTCCTATCATAAAGTTCTGACATTACCATCTCCCTGTAAACAACTCTTTGGAGAAATACTGGGCATATGGAAGAAAGTTACTTCAGGTCCACATTGTGGTAGTGTTGAAAATAAAATTATGAAAAATGGGTTAAGACCAGATTCTAAATTGAAACAGTGTGGTGTGGTGGACCAACATTTAAAATAGAGGTCTAGACAGTGCCACTGGGAAATAACTAGTAATTGCCCAGAATTACTCAGAGTAAACATTTTAAAATGGGTATTTAGGTTGTAAATTTTATGCAAAAATTTATCATGAGGTACAGTGAAGTAATAAATCCTGTTTTAATATGTTCCATTTATTGTAATTGTTGTCAATTCAGTTGTAAGATATTAATTGGTTTTAAATTTCTTCCTTGCAACCTTTTAGTATCTATTGTTTCTACATTTGAGTAACAGGATGAATGAGGACACGTTCAAATATTTGTCACTTTGGTGATGTTTAGTGTGCTGTTTGAGGTCCTTCTCTTTGTATAAGTGAGAATATGCTTAGATATTTTATTGGTACTTTCATCACATCTAGTCAAGCACTATAGCTCACAAATTGTAGCTTCCATCCAACCCCTGTTTTATTAGTCATGTTGGCAGGAAATGGTAACAATTGATAAATAACCTCTCTTGAACAGAGTCACATTTTACCTTAGTCTTTATTGTAACCAGTCTGTTTTCTAATTCCAGACCTTGCTTGCATGTACAAATTATTTAGTCGTGTGCCAAATGGTTTGAAGACAATGTGTGAATGTATGAGTTCTTATTTGAGGGAACAAGGAAAAGCCCTTGTTTCTGAGGAAGGAGAAGGGAAGAATCCTGTTGACTATATCCAGGTAGATAAAGTTTTACATTCATAGTAAGCATTTTGCAAGTACTTTATGGATCACTTTTAAGTGTATATTATATGCCTGAGCTAAATATTTTAGAATGTTTTAATATGTTCATTATATGTGTCAGGGAGCCAAATCAGCTGCTGTTTTTTGTTGATCATATTTTTTTTTAATTAACCTACTCAAGATTTGTTCAAAATAAATAATTTAAAAAAATGAGCTGTATTTTGTCGTGTGTTGGTGTTTAAATACAGTAAAAACCAACTTTTGTTTTAAATGCTTAAATCTCAGAATACTTTTAATTGTATTCTAATTTTTTTTTAATAGGGATAATCAGTGTTTTGTGTTTTTTTTAAACTTTATGTTCTCTTTGGCTTCCCTGTATGGTCCAGACAAGAGAGTGATGAGAAGCAGTAACAGGGTTTCTTTCTTTGTTTTAAATGTTTATATTTCATTTATGGAGGGCATATGCACACATATGCCTTGTAGAAGTCAGGGCAGAGTCATTTCCATCCTGTGGGCCCAACAAGTACATTTGTCTGCTGATCCACCTTGGTGCCCTGCTTAATTTTTTGATATATTACACATATGTAAATGATAGAATGCTTACCATCAGTAAAATTTGAACTTGTATACAAACTGGAAAATAATAATAGTCTATAAAATTAACCTTGAGCACATAATTACCTACAAAGTTAACTAAGGTATTTTACTTGTGACATTTTTATGTTTCCTAAATTTCTTTTTTATATCTAAGGGCTTATTGGATCTGAAGAGTAGGTTTGATCGCTTCCTCCAAGAATCCTTCAATAATGACCGGCTCTTTAAACAAACTATTGCTGGGGACTTTGAGTATTTCCTAAACCTCAACTCCAGGTCTCCTGAATACCTCTCATTATTTATTGATGATAAGCTGAAAAAGGGAGTCAAAGGGGTAAGTAGTGATATATTGGAAATTATATTAGGTTTTACTTGTCTAAAGTTTGGAAATAAATTAAGAAGTTTTACAGGTAAAAATGAAGTAGGGCTCTTTACTGTGCTTATATACTATGGTCTCCTAGACTGTTCTTTTTTTATTATTATTATTTAAAAAAAAAGTCTTAGACCTGCTCAAAAATTGTTTGACATTTCACGTATACATTTCTTGTGTAATTTTCATTTTAAAAAATAACCTCCTAAAAGAAAAGACACAAAACATGCTTGCAGGTATTTATTTATTTATTTATTTATTTTTATGCGCACACATGCACATATATGTATGTATGTATGTATGTATGTGATTGCCTTTGTAGCTAAGAATTAGTTGTGTGAGGGATAACAAAACCAGAAGATTTGGATTGGTGATGTTAACTTGCTTTTGTCTGGGTCTGGGTATAGGGCATCATGTGGGGCTTGGATTTTGAGGAATTTGAAGGTGTACTTGGAAGAAGAGTTGAATTTTTAAGTTTCATCTCAGGGACCTTGGGAGCTCACTTGGAACCATAGAAAAACAAATTAAGCTATTTTGACCACAAGTGGTCTTTTAAAGCCTCTTAGAAATGTTGAGACAAAGGAGAAAAACAACAAATAGCTGCAGATTACAGAGGCATTAGCTGAATAAAAAAACAAAATCACTGACTGCAAAGAATCTTACTCAATTTAATCTCTTATTTCTAAAATCACAATCATAATATAACCCATTACATTGTTTTCTTTCCCTTATTTAAAAGACAAGGTAAAGAAGCCTTTTTATCCTTTGGATTTAACAAAAATTTACCCATTTGTTTGCCAATTTTGAGGCAATTTTTAATGAGCTTTTAAATAGTTATAGCTGTGTAAATATCTGCACAATCCTTTGCTAATGAAATTTCATCTGTTCTTAGTCCAGCCCTGTAATAATTAATGTCTCCTCTGAGTAGTAGTCCTCCACTTTTTCAATGCATTAGAGAGTGTAGGAATGTATGAGGTAGGGACCCATTCTCAGATAACATCCTTTCCATTAGCCAAGTGTTAATGGTTGTTTTTCAACAGGCTTGTCTTTTGCTTACTTTTGCAGCTAACAGAACAAGAAGTAGAAACGATATTGGATAAGGCAATGGTCCTTTTTAGGTTTATGCAAGAAAAAGATGTATTTGAACGTTATTATAAACAACACCTGGCAAGGAGACTGCTCACGAATAAAAGTGTTTCTGATGATTCTGAAAAAAATATGATTTCTAAGTTAAAGGTAAGCTTTATTTTAAAATGAATGTATTATGCCTAACTGATGTTGATTGTGTGGTTGAACACCAGCAACATCAATAATTGATTTTAAATGTTTACTTCCAGACTTTCTCAAGGTAGTGTTGTTTTGAGCAGGGGGCTTTACTTCCACTTGTTTAAAGGTCTCCCAAGTTCTGTTGTATAGTGTGCTTTCTAAACTAACCTGTACAAGAATCACACGAAATGGTGTAGGAAATGTCAGAGTTGAGGCCCCACTTTCCCTATACACATATATACAGCAATCAGTGGGAAGACTTTCACAGGAGATAATCTGGGATGACGATAAAATGATTTTGTTTGTACACCTTTTCATATTTATTTATATGTATTTGTGTTCTTTCTCCATAGACGGAGTGTGGATGTCAATTCACATCAAAACTGGAAGGAATGTTTAGGGACATGAGCATCTCAAACACAACTATGGATGAGTTCAGGCAACATCTACAGGCAACAGGGGTACGAGACTTCATTAATTTCTCATCTCAAATGTTGGATCTTCGCTTTTATATTTAGGAAGTCTATTTCTTCAGTTTTACTAATATCTTTGGTTGTTCCATATACTTTTGAGTCCACTCTGTACATGCAGTTAAAAGTAGTAGTTGAGGCTGGACGACAGTTGGCTCGGTGGTTAAAAGAGCTTTTATTGGTTCCCAGCCTGTTAGACGGCTTACAACTGCCTGTAAGGGCTCTAATATCCTCTCTGTATCATGAAGGCAACTGCACTCATGTGCACAAACTCATATAAATGCACATATAAACAATTAAAACTAACAATTTAAGAAATATTTAAAAGTGACTGTTTATGCTATAGACTTTAAGCTTTAAATCTCCTAAGCTTTTCCCTGTGTTGGAAACAGTTGATGGACTGAGAAAACCGTGACCTTCCTCTTTGAATTCTATTAAATTCTATTGAATTCTATTAAAAATCTTCAAGGTGAACACAACTCCTAAGGATCTACTCAGCACATTGCTTTCTTGTATTTACTTTCAGGGGCAATACAACAAATATTTTGCTTTAAAATGTAATACATGTGATTATTTATAGTTTTATAAGAAATTACAAGTGTTGTTCTCTTTTTTTTTTTTTTCCTCTTTTCCTTTTTAAGAGGGCAGAAGCCAATGGTGAGAGCAATGCTAGTGTGTATTTTATTGAAGTTGTCATCCATCATATAGATAAATGTTTATAGAAAATAGATACATAACACTGGACCTACAGCTAATGTTAGTTATCTAATGTAAAAATGCTAAAAGCAGAGAAGATAGTTTTGTTTAAAATGATTCTACTCACATGTAAGAATTTTGTTATGTTCATTATTTTTAATTTTTAGGCAATAATTACAATGACTTGGAAAACATTAAACAGATCCAATTATTAAGAACTCTTTTCTTTATTAGATTCTAGACATGAAGATACCCACTTTACAATGACTTTGCCAATTGTAATAGAGACTGTATGGGTCTGGGTCGGTAATAAATCTAGTCTGTTATAGTTCATCTCTTTCTATTTGTATAGGTATCTTTAGGTGGTGTTGATCTCACAGTCCGGGTTCTCACAACGGGATATTGGCCCACTCAGTCAGCCACACCAAAGTGCAACATCCCACCAGCACCAAGACATGCTTTTGAGATATTCAGAAGGTAACATCTCAATAAGACTTTCTGAATATAAATAACCAAATTTTAATTTTATTTTCACATTAATTAAATTCCTTACAGATGGTAAATATATTCCATTTTAGACCTCATATTCAGAAGACTTTATATGAGTAATTTTTAGCATGATGTAAAAACGGATTAAGTAAAACTTAAATGTCAGTGTCCTTTGTCATTGGTGCATGTTAGTACAGTTGTGTTTTGCATTGTTAGTGTCAGTCACTGACTTAGGATAGGCTCTGGAGAAAATCTGCTGAAGAGCTGCTCCAAGTATGCAAGAGAAATCATTTAGTGTGTTGGTACCTAGTTAAGTTCACCTATCTTACATCAACACCTCCATACACTACCCTCACTTTCCTCATATGCTAAAAAACAAACAAAAAACCAAAGGGCTTCCTTCATCTTTTACTGTCTCTTATCTATATGTTTGCTCAGGTTTGTTGTCATCTTAAAATTGTTAATTTCAAAAGTGTAAATTTTATGATTTCTTAAAACTTGGTTTACTTTGCTATAGGTTCTACTTAGCCAAACACAGTGGTCGACAGCTCACACTCCAGCATCACATGGGTTCTGCAGATCTCAATGCCACCTTTTATGGTCCAGTTAAAAAGGTAATTATTGATTCTTCACATATACAGAGTAACTTAGGATCCATGTACAAAACCCGTGTGTGATTTAGGTCAACCTGAATATAGCTGTGACTTTCATGTCATAAGTTGGAAAACTTAAAAACCTCTGCTTTTATTATGTCTATTATTTGCTAACTGCATTTGAAAATATGAAGGTCATGTCTTTAAACACTACAACTAATAGATTATGGATTTTATTTAAAAGATTAAGCTAGAGACCCTGTTACCAAATATAGCATAATGTAAGTTGATTTGAGGGCATACAAAGCAAAGTACCCCTTTTCAAAATTCTTTTAGTTCTTCTGAAATCAAAACCAGGAGATTGGCACTTGATACTTAATAAGACATGCAGATACTTTTAGAATCATTTTTAAAACGATGTATAAGTAATTTTTTAAGAAAATATTCTACTTGGTTTGAATCAAGCCAACGTTATTTGCCTCAAGGTTGAAAATTAATCAATTTATGCAGCAAAAAGTCTTAATCTAGCAACTTAATGTGATGAGTTGCTGTGTGACACCAGAGCATTTTTAGTAATGTGTGTATATAAACATTGATATTTTCATATGTAATTAACATAGATGAAGAACTTTATAATGTATTTAGTTGAAAAATATTTGGCACTATTATCTCTAAATTTGTAAATACTTTCTTGGCTGAATTGAAGTGTTCACTGTGTAGGGAAATGAGGACAATTCCTTAGTAAAGGGGTGTGCATGCATGCATGTGTTAAGTAGGCTTTTTTATTGGTGGGGAGGAGATTATAGGATTTATTTCTGAAAATATGATTGAAGTTGGTAGGAGATAACGTCTTTTTTTTTTTTTTTTTTAAATACATCAGGAAGACGGATCTGAGGTTGGTGTTGGCGGTGCACAAGTAACAGGTTCTAATACCCGGAAGCACATATTGCAAGTCTCCACTTTCCAGATGACCATATTAATGCTCTTTAATAATAGAGGGAAGTACACATTTGAGGTATGGCTTATAATAATAAATCTTGTGTCCAGTTTCTAACTCTTATTTTTTGCTTAAGTCTGTCTTAATAGAGCAAACTTTAAGAGACACTCCTTGAATACCCGTAGGAGAAACTGCATATAATTCAGGCAAAGAACAACAACTGGGGCATGTCTTATTTATTTTTGCTTTGTTTTGTTTGTTTTAACTTGACGTTGTTTAGGTATAGTTTTCATATTGTGTGAGTACATAGCTTGCCTAAGCTTTAAAAGTAGGTACTTATGTATTCATTGTTATAGGACTGTATTTCTATGTATCGATCTATAGTCAGTTCCCTACAACCACTCTTGGTGCCAAGTAACTTAAGATTAATGTTTTTTATGGGTTGTTTTGCCTTTTATAGAATTTTATATAATTATCATGTGTATTGTTTGTGTTGAGGATTCATGGCTTAGTGGTTTTTTAGATTGATTTTTGATGTATAGTATCAGTACTTCCTCTTATTGCATGAAGAATTGCTACGTTTTCTTTATCTGTTTACTTGTTGATATGATAAGCTTTTGGGTTAGTACCAGATTTGGTTTGTTAAGAATACATCCATGAAGCTAGAAAGATAACTCAGTTGGCATTGAACTGCCTCGGTTTGATCACCTGAACCACCACCATGTTAAAAAGCCAGTCATGGTGACACTTACATATAATCCCAGAATTGGGGAGCTGATCCCCAGGCCTGCGAAAGACCAGAGAGGTCAAGAGAGAAAGGTGACTACCTCCTAGGAAACTACACATAAGGTTGTCTTCTACATATACTCTCACCTGCACAAATATATACACACCCATGTGTTTAACTTTTTAATAAACTGCCCAAACTATGCCCTAAAGCAAGAGCTCCTTTTGCTCCATATCGTCTGTAATCAGTAGTTTTGTCCAGTTTAATATATATTCAGTTGTATCATGGATTTAATCTTCAATGACTAATGGTGGTGCATATCTTTTATGTGTTTATAAGCTACCTAGGTATATTGTCTTAAGGATACACACATGAGCGTACACACACACACACACACACACACTGCATATATACAAATGCTTTGCCTGGCTCTTTGTGGTTTATTATACTAATATTCTAAGAAATGGTATCCTAGCATGAGATTTATAGAGATTTTAGCGCTTTTAAGTAGTTTCTAATTTTAGTTTTTATATTTAAATATGGTAATTTTCAGGTTAATATTTATATGGTATGATATGAGAATTAAAATTGATCTGGAGCTGAAGAGATGGCTCAGCTGTTTAAAAGCATTAGGAATTCTTCAGAAATTCCTAGCACCCACATGGCAGCTCATAACAGTTTGTAACTTCAGTTCCAGGGATTTAACACCCTCTTTTGGCCTCTGCCAGCACTAGACATACATTTGTGCAAAGATGTATATGCAAACACAAAATATTAAAATAATTTTGAATAGTTTCTCTTCATATAGTTCATTCAAGCATCATTTATTAAAAGTGGTCATTTTTCCCCCTTTGGCACCTTTATTATTATTATAATGCGCATTCTTCGTTTTTTCTTTTCTCACCAAATTGATGATTTGGTTGCATTAACTTTTTAAAATTACACATTTTTATTTATTTTGTGTATGTATGGGTGTGTGTGATATGTGTGTGTATATACATGTTAGGATCGTCTCTCTCACAGAATTCCAGTCATTAGGCTTGGCTGCAAGCACCTTTACTGTTAAGCCATTTCAAAGCCCAGTAACATTAAATTTAACTAGTTTTCTATACCTGTAAAATGTTACTTGGTATTGAAATGGATGTCTTTTTAATTTTTGAAGTATGGTATTAAGTGTTTTTAAAGGCTTTAAAATTAACACCTTCATATTTATTGACAGTTTTTAGCTATAGGTAACAGCCATGCTTTTGTTTTCTGGCAAACATTTAGAGAGTGCCATTTTTATATGATATATTACAAGAAAGCTTATAAACTTTTATGTTTTAGTTTAGTGGCCAAGTCAAGAAGTGTTTTTCTTTATATTTAACAAACACATTTTACCTAAGAATAATACTAATTTTCATGCACAAATTATGTGGAATTGAGTCCTAATAATATTGATGAGGCAAATATGGAATATACCTTAGTCAAACCATACACATAGTGCCTTTTGCAGAGGAGGAAATCAATTGTCATTCTTAGATATTCTGGGATTGCAGGTATAGGTTACTACATAGAGTTTTATGTGGTGCTGGGGAATCAAATCTAGTGTATTCTGCATATTAGGCAAGTGTTCTGCCAGCTGAACTATATCACCAGTTCCAATAGGTGTTTCTTTTGGTTTTTGTTCGTTTCGGGGGACTAGGTTGAGACAAGATTACTCTCTTATGTGGCTCTGGCTACCCTAGAATTTTAGAATTCAGTTCTGCCTCTGCCTCCTGAGTGCTGGTATTAAAGGTGTGCCTCACTGTCACCTAGCTCCAATAGACATTCTTTTAATTGAGGGTTCCCATGAATATTTTGTGAAGAGTATATCTACATAATACATATTAAGGTTGATTTTTTTTTTGAGAGCTCTAATTTATAAAAGGACTCAAATATGATGGGATAATTACAGTATAAATATATTTTCCAAAGCTACTACTATAGAATTGTTGTATTAACTGTAGTGATGGAAGGCACCTTCCCTTTTCCAAAAAACTTGGGATCCATTGATGCTAAATTAGCAAGTTTGAGGTTGGAAGTTAAGTGGAATATTGCTCTAACATTGCCAGTTTTAGCTAATTCATACACAATGGGTTTTCTGTGTAGAAAGTATAATGGGCCTCAAAAACCATTTTGTTCCCTATACTTCAAATCTAAGATGTTGTGAGAAGATACATGGCAACTTAACTTGTGTTTTACACTGTGTTATAATCTTGCTTAAATTCTATTAGCATGTCTTTCATAGAAATTTAATGTTAAAGGAAGCTGATTTTATATATAAATAACTGTGAGTTCAGGAAGATGGTTGTATAGCAACATACAACATACAAAATCCCAAATCGACATGACTTAAAACATGCACTAACAATCTGCTATCTCTTGGTTTCTCTGAATTGAGTATTTTAGCTGGAACTCACTTGGGTAGCTGTGGCTTGAGGACCTTTTGGTTTAAGGTCCTTGGCAAGGTTGCATTTAGATGTCGGGTCTTAGAAAATTAATCCAATGGTTTCAATGGGCTTAAGGAATATACTTCCCAGGTGTTTTGCATGGTAGGCAGATTTGTTTGGGGTATTGGTAAATCTGTAGTTTGTACTTTCTTTCCATGTAGGCCTTTATAGTTGATCTTTTGGTTGTCTTTACATTTTAGTGCCTCAGTTGCCCTAGAGTGAGTGAGTACTCTGAGAGCCCCAAAAAGAAACTTTACTGTTTTTATAGAACCTTGGAACTCACATATTGTTCCCTCCCTTACTTGTTTGGTCACCCAAGTCTGTCTCGACTGGTTAGATTGGTCACAGAGTGCAAAAAAAAGTGTTTGCAGGTAAATATGCTTGCCACCATGCCAGCTGACCTGATTTTGATCCCAGGACCCACATGGTATAAGTTAAGAACTAACTTAATTTCCAAAAGTCAGCTGACACACATGTGCACACACAGACCCAACAAATGCATAAATGTAATTAAGATGTTTAATTGTTATGAGCTGTCTTGAAAACTGTCTTAAAAGAGAGATAATTTTGTGGTATCACATTTAATCCATAGTAATAAAGCTGTTGAGGTTTTCTGTGTGTGTGTGTGTGTGTGTGTGTTTTTAATAAACATCTATGCCCCAAATATAAAAGCACCCTCATTCGTAAAAGAAACGCAACTAAAACTCAAACCTCACAGGAAATGGGTCTTGATGTGGTGGTAACAGCATAAAATTATTTTCGTTTTAAATGTATTCCTTCAAGATGAGTTATCATGTAGCCCAGGCTAGTGCCTAAATTCATGATCCTCCTGCACTTGTCCCCCAAGTGCTGGTATTATAATAAAAGTCATAGATGAAGAACTTGTTTGAACAAATAATACCCAGAAGCAAATTGGTTTATAGCTTTCGATACTTGGGATATGGTAAATTTGTCATTTTAAATCAGTCTAAATTTTTTGGAGGTGTTAGAGGACAGTAGATGTACTTCAGTATCATTCTATCACATCATATACAAAAAATAGATTCTAGGTTAATGCATAAATTTAAAAGTTGATACATAAAGTATAAATAAGGTACTACCTAAGGAAATAAATATCTGTAGTCTAATAAGACCTATTTAGCTTTCTAGTAATTCATAGTATTTGTAATGTCTACAATAGAAATAAATGTAATTATTTGAAAAAGATGTGTAAAATAGCATTTCACAGAATCTTGACTCTTACATAATTCATGTTTCCATAGATATATGTGTACTAAGTCATGTGAGTGTACATATCTCTTACTTATCCTATTGACTTGAGAACAGTGTCTTAAAAATTACAACACTTTCCCCTGGTGTTTTTATTTTTCTCGGTATAACATTGTATTCATGTCATAATCACCTAGACCCCAGGATAGTTAGGTGGCTTACTGATTTTTTTTTGTGTTTAATGCTAATTTCCAGTAGTCAAGTCTTAAATTGATCCCAGAGGCAGTAAATATGGTCAAATCCAGGTTCTGATGTTTGTTTTCGTAATGAAATCTTGAACAGAGTAGTCTTGGAAGGAGCATAGTAATTGTTCCTGAGACTGACTATTGTAGCTGAATACAGTCAAGTTCCTGGTGATGCCTGCAGATGGCATTTTAGAGAACACATTGTACTTCCTGAAGCAGAAATGCCCTTGCATTTAAGAGTTTATAGTTTATTGAAATAATGAGATTTTTAAGTAGCAAATCTTAATATTCAGGAGATTTTCTTATTGTAAATTAATTCTTTAATAAAATTAACTTTCTCTAGCCACTGCTTGGTCTATTTATTGCTGATTAACTAATGTACTTTTAATCTTTGGGGGGAAATCTAATTATGTCAAATCTAATGAAATTTCAGGAAATTCAACAAGAGACAGATATCCCTGAAAGAGAACTTGTTAGAGCCCTGCAGTCCCTCGCCTGTGGTAAACCAACACAGCGGGTCCTCACAAAAGAACCCAAGTCAAAGGAGATAGAAAGTGGCCACATATTTACAGTTAACGATCAGTTCACATCCAAACTACACAGAGTCAAGATTCAAACAGGTACCTTGCATTAAAATTTTCCTCTTAAAAATTATGTATATTTTATTTAAAAAAAAAAAAAATCCTTGTCTGCTGGATTTCTTCCTTTTAAGAAGTAATAGTTTCATTGTTAACAAAAGTAATGCATAAAGTATGCCTGTGCTCGATCCTGAGAAGAGAAGCAAGTGTGCGGATACCTGGGAATAACAAAATGCAGCTGAACCCACGTGCAAACAAGATATAGTTCTACAGACTTCTTTGCACCGACAGAGTAATTGTTCCTAACTGGTAGTCAGGAAGCTTTCAAAGCTGTTTTTACAGATTTTTCAAAATTGGGTGTTACCTACAAAGTATTGATTTTTAGATATTTTCTAAGTTTTGAAATTATAAAGCCAGTATTTAATTTAAATGTATAAATGACATGGTTATGAACAATTTTTACTACTGCCTTCTATGTTGATAATGAAAATATCATTCAGTATATATTATCTGTGTAAGGTTTTTATTTTTTCTTTGTAAATGGCAAAAGTTTTTAGAATTAAAGCTACCTGGTTTCAAGGGTAATACTAGTACAGACAGACCTACGACAGCACAGACATCTCCTTGAAGTAAGAGATTTTCCTCCATCATTCTAAATATGGTATCATACTCGGGAAAAATAATTTCATATTATAGTGTCTATTGTATATTCTCAGTTGCCTCAAAAGTTCCCTTTATGTCTTCCCTTTTAGATCTAGGATTATTTCAGGATTTCTATATTACAGTTTATTATATTTTTTTTCTCTCTCTTAATCCAAACCCATATCTCCCCTAATGGAGGAGGCTTAATTCTTTGTATAGATTATTTTTATTTGCTTTTACCCTTTTTTTTTTTTTTCTTAGCAAATGATACTGAATGCATGTGTCTCCCTGAGAGTGTTTGAGTGAAAAATAGGGTTTTGATTTGATTTGATTTAATTTGAATTGATTAGACCAGATTGATGGATAGGTGAGATTAGGTAAAATACCAGGCTATAATCCAGGGCCTCACATATGCTAGTCTGCATGCTTTCTAACACTGAGCCATGTCCCCAGCAGAAAGTGGTATTCTTATCAAGGAACTTTTTCTACAAGTAGCTAAATGTTTGTGTACCAGAATAATAATATAAATTATAGATTTGTTGTATCATGTCTATGTCTGTGCATAAGTCAGCCTTTGTTTCTTTGAGTTTTCTAGTTTGATTCCAAAAGTTTCGTGCTTATCTCCTTTTAAGGGCAAATAATACAATAAATAATAAATGGTTTTGTTTTTTGCTTCATTTGTTACAGCATAGTTGTACATTAATTCTTTATTTTGCCCCTTTGCTGGTTACTTTGAACACTATAGGAAGGACAGAGTAAGATTCTCTTAAAGGTTGGGATACACAGTAGATATGATGAGATTAGAAAAGCATTTTGTTAAGTAATAGAATCCAAGGAGTTGGTAAGACCTACACAGAAACGTTTCATTGCTATAGAATTCCTTTTACTGGTACCTTTGTACTGTTTTTTAATTGTTTAACTGATAAGACTCTTGACAGTACCTGCTCTTACCTTTCCTACAGTGTGTTGTCAGTTAGAGATAGCAGGTACTTGATGAAAAAAATTTGTTGAAATAAACCATGAAGCCATGACAGAAAAGTAAAAGTTGAGGTCTGAAAGCCATGGACAATTTGCAAATTATATACTGCTAATTTTGCTACTGGAGATGTCCACTACCAACCATTTCTCTTCCAGAAGAGTAATTATTCTAATCTATGAATAATTAACTTTCAGTCAGACATGTGTGGAATATGGTTTTAATACCAGAATTTAGGAGGCCAAAGCAGGTGAATGTCTGTGAGTTTGAGGGCAACCTAGTCTAAATAGTGAGTTCTAGCCAAACCAGGGCTACATAGTGAGACCCTTTAAAAAATGTGTTTTTTTGCTTTTATTTTTCCCTTTAAAACTACCTTATAATTTGTAGAAGACAGTAATTTATAATTGAGGTGAGTATGAATGTTTGCTTGTTGTGTGTTAACTTGTGTGTATTCTAGTTGAGATGGAGTTTTCTCTGAATAATATAATTTATATTACATTTTTATAAACCAGAATTTTAATTGTATTTCTGCTAAATGCCTTTGCTTTTATTTTAGTTGCAGCCAAACAAGGTGAATCTGACCCAGAAAGGAAAGAAACAAGACAGAAAGTAGATGATGACAGAAAACATGAGATAGAAGCCGCTATAGTGCGAATAATGAAGTCTAGGAAGAAGATGCAGCACAATGTTTTAGTAGCAGAGGTAAGGATGCTTGAAGCCTGGTCCACATCATTATTACACAATACTGCTCACAAGAGCAAGATACTATATATACATAATTGAACACCTGTACATCCATATACCTTTTTAAACAAATCACCTGTGTTTCTGAATATGAATAATGGTTACCAGTGTTTTGAGGGCCTCTTTACAAATTAAGAACACCCATGAGGGGCCATTAACATAGTAGGGTAACAAAAGCCTTATTTAAGAATTGAGAAGTACTGCTGACAGTTTATTACCTGAGAAATGGCAAGGAAGGGTTTAGCCTCCTAGGTTTCTGCATGAATGGACAGAGGTTGGGCCCCATATCATAATGGTTTGCACAGTTGTCTTTATTGTACACTGGCATAATGTGGGCTTGGGAGTCCATTGGAGCATTGAAGGTCAAATGTTAAATTGGAAATTCACATTACATAGGAAGATAGTCAAAACTGGGTTCATACTAAATTGCTCAAGTGTAACACTGTAAGCAAAAGCCCTACAGTACCACATTCAGGGCAACGAGAATACCCAGTAACACTGAGAAGAAGCTTCTGAGCACTGGTTTTGTTTTTTTCGTGTCATGTCGTCGGTCCCCGTGGGCGCCCCCCCCCCCCCCCGTGTCATCCCCACACACCCCCCCCCCTCCCGCAGACAGGGTTTCTCTGTGTAACAATCCTGCCTGTCTTAGAACTTTCTATAGACCAGGCTGGCCTGGAACTCACAGAGATCTGCCAGCATCGGCCTCCTGAGGGCTGGGATTAAAGGTGTGCATGCACCACTGCCACCAGTGAGCACTGGTTCTAAAGGGATGCTTTCTGAAGTAGTCTAATAAATAGAGGTTCTCAGGCACCAGAACCTACTGACTCAGACATCTCTGGTCAACAGTCTGGCCTTTAACAGGTTTTTCATAGGTGGTTGTGAAGCCTGTTGAAATTAGATATCCTTCCAATGAGGGGGGAAAAAAAATCAAGTACAGTTATACACAGCAAAGGAGTGATTAGGAGTGGGTGATCAGTAATAGTGAAAACGATAAAGCTGAGGTAAGTGACTATACCAGCAAAAGTGGCCATTTAGCTTTGCCATACATTTTCACTGGCCTAGTAAGAATAGTTGATGGAGCCCCTGGGAAATAAGTGCATGTGGAAACCACCAAGAGTTTGTACTTGAGGCAGTGGGTCCTGGTAACGGGCAGAAAGAAGAGCTCTAGAAGACTGGTGGGATTTGGCTTTTTCTTCTAAATGGGAGATTGTTGAAGATGCTTATATTGTGGTAAAGAGATGCTAGGTGATCAGGATAAGAAAATAGTGAAGTCTGGGAAAGGAAGACTGAATGTTGGTGGGTAGGAGTAGAAATAGTGGGCACTAACAAAATGTGCATTTTCCTGAGAACACACTAGGGCACACAGTCTGTGCTGATAAAGAATTGATAAAAATAGGTAAATACTATGTAAGGTAGGAATATCAAAGTGAAATGAGATAGCTTTTTATCCTGGTGTAAAAACAGGGTAGGGGTTCTGCATGTTGGTTGGAAAACACTAGGAGCCCATCAGAATTAGAGATTGTGTCTACAGCAGAGTGGTGATTTTAATTATAAAGTTGTGTTGGGATTTCCCAGGGGTTATCAAACCTTTATAGAAAGCCAGTTTTAGCCTGAGGATAACTGTAAGCAGCACATACAACTGTGACTAGATATAAATGATTTTATAAAAGCAAGTATTAGGGGATATTTTGGCCTATTAGTGCAGCTGATGACTCCTAGTTTATACTGATAGCAATTTCATCAAATAATTCTTATAAAATAGGGCTAAAAAATCCAGAGTTGAAGGTGCTTTTGAGAGTTGAAGTCATCTTGAATGCAGTCTAGGCTCTATAAGGAAGGAGACTATGTCTGAAATAGCTATTACAGTCTGGAAAATAGAGTTAAACATTGGCAATTTCAAATGAGTGGTAAGAAGATTTTTTTTAAATAGTAGGTTTATTAAGTGCACTGTGAGAATGCAGAGAGACTAAAGTTGGAAAAGGGGAACTACCTGTCAAGTCTAGCAAGACTAGAATGGTAATTGTGGAAGGATGGTAGATTGTAGTTGTAGAGTAGAATGCTGAAGACAACCTTGATCAACAAGAGTAAAAGAAAACCTGGTTTATGGGTACATGGTTAAGTGGGGTGGATTATTGAAATGTTCATGAGCTTTGAGGACAACAAGGTTTAGAGTCTCTCTTGTTCTGGTACTAATTGTTAATACCGACTTATTTTCCTTTATAAAATTAAACAGCCTACATTGCACTTAAAAGCATTAAACAAGTAAATATACATTCACACAACACACAACCAGTGATTGATAGCCATAGATCGTGGCTGCTAGTTACTAGAAGCACCATACTTAGAATCACTGAAGCTGGAGCAAAGAATTGATGGCAATATTGGGTGACATTGTTATAAGTCATTTTATCTGTTAACTTATCTCTGAGATACCAGAGCTGGGATCAGAAATCAGAAATTTGAACCTATGTAATCTGGGTCAGAGCTTGTGCTTGTAAACACAACATGCTGTGCTGCGCAGGTTCTGTGAACTGGGAAATAACCCAGAAGTATGATTAAACTGTATGCTGCTATGGGACTAGTGAAATCCAACTGTTCCTTTTTATTGTTCACATTTTGACACATGGAAATGTGTTCTGACCATCCATAACATTTACAAGTAAAGGCTTTAAAGGTTTTTCCTGTACTCTTTTTGTTTTAGTTAATTTATCTGTTATGTTGAGGCAGAGTGCTCTTTCAGCCTCAGGTTCCCAAGTGCTGAGATTATAGACTTTAGCCACCTAATTTAGTTGTACAGTCACTAAATTTTGGTCTTCTTGGCTTTAAAATGGCATGTCTACTCCAGTTTTTTTAAAAAAAGAGGGAATTTTGTGTGTTTATGTGGAAGTGTTTTAGTTAAAATTAGACTTGTACCTTCTCTTTTTAGGTAACTCAACAATTGAAGGCTCGATTCTTACCAAGTCCAGTTGTTATTAAGAAACGTATTGAAGGACTTATTGAGAGAGAATATTTGGCACGAACACCTGAGGATCGCAAAGTATACACATACGTAGCATAAAATGCATTCAGAAATTTGATTTATTCTTGGACTGTACTCTTCGCATGGACTGGGAAGTTCTTTTAAATCATTACTATTAAGACGACCATCTCTTCTGTTAAATTGCAGTACATGTTATAGACCACTCAGATCAAGCCTCTCCTCCCTCTGAGAGTTTTCAACATCAGTTGATTGAGCTTCAGGCTTTCCAACGTTATCCCTGTAGAGACCATCTTTACAGTTCCTCGGGAAAATGTGAATGTGCCGCGTTTTGTTTTCAATATTGTATGAAAACAGAAAAAAAAATAAATAAAAACCAATTTAGAAAACACAGCTCATTAAAATAAAATTGTTGGATTTCATTTCCCCAGGTCTTCAGTGTTGATGTAAATGTGTTTCTGTAGTGTTGCTTATTTAGCACTTTGCGCATTGTGTAAGTTGGGTAGCAAACGTGGCAAAAGAAATGCAAAATTCTCAGTTATCTTGCTCTGCTTGTGACATTTCCTTAGCTGGTATTGTTTAAAGGTTTGATAAACATACAAAGACCCAGGCATACAATTGGCGCATGCTTTATCCTAACCATTTGCACTTACTGATCTTACAGCCTTATGACCAAGAACCTTTGTTTGGACATGAATACATAACCTGGGTTGTTTTTCCCTATTGTAATTTGAGGTTTTCCAAATTCAGTTCTAAGATGACTAGGTTCTGCTCTGAGTTATTTCTAGAGAAAGAAAATATTTTAGTATGTATAAATTGTACAATAATTTTTTGCTGTTGTACTTACTGCTAATAGTGGATTGTATAGGGTGGTGTTTTTATTTCATTTATTGTAGACAAAAAATGAATTTAGTATTCACATACACACTAACTCAAGTATGTCAGAGCACAAAGGTGGCAGCTGGTTATATTTAATTCAGTCCCTTTGAAAAGCACATACATTCTACTCTTTGTTTATAAATATGTTAGCCCCCATCCCACACAAACACACAGTTTAAATACTTTAAATACTACTTTGGTAAAGCTATGGTACACCATTGTCTGTTTCAAAATACAATCTAAAGATGCAATAAATAGATTACCTTGATAGTTTGAAGGAAGTCTTCAGTTCTTACAGCTGTGTTTTGGAAAGTGATTAAGCAATATTTTTCAAATGTGATGATTCTTGGTATTTAGCTCTTCGTTGTCCTTTGAGGAGTCATTTTCATGTTTTCTGAGCTGTGCTTTGTGCTGGAGAATTGTGTTCGTTACTCTGTGCTTCCAACCATTTCTAAAGTTGGTTTCTACCCAGTTGATCTGCCAAGGATTATAGTTTGCTTTAACTTCAGAGTATTTTTATCTTTTATTTAATTTTATTCCTTTTTTTTTTTTTTCTCTTATAATGTTTTAGATATGTAATTGGGGGAAACCACTATAGATTTCTGTCAGAAAAATTAAATGTTACTGAGTTCAAGTAACCAACTCTCCATTGAATATCAATACTGTTGATACACTTACCAGAATGTATATTTCAGAAGATGGTTTCTGTTTAAATTTATGGTGAAGTTACAATAACTGAATTCTGATATGGATTAAAAACTCCACATAAATATTTTCCCCATGCGTCTTGAATTATAATTTTCCTTTTAGGCCTGCAAATATGCTTTTATTGGATTTAAATCCTTTTATCTGTAATGTACAGTTTAAACCTTATGATCTTGTTTCTACATGTGTTCCACATTCACATGAGACAGTGAAGGTGTGACCAATATGGACAGTGTTCTCAGTACACTTTGCTGTACTTGCACAGGTACCGCAGAACTAAAGAATTGCTTTATGGTATAGTTCAATTTTCACTAAGGAAACTGCTGTTTAACACTTGGAAAGTAAGGACAGTTCTGGTTGTCGGCAATCAGAAAAGCTATGAAAGCTTCAGTTATGAAGTCTTCTAAGTCAGACATTAAAAACAATGAAGTAGTAGATCAAACCATTAACATTCCATTTATGTCATCTTCAGTGTGACTTGCACAGATCAGGTCTAGCATATACGTAGGACATAAAGATTTGATATTTGTGCTTTTAGATGCTTGCTTCGGGGTAAAAGTAGATTTGCTGAGGAATGCTAGTTCTGCTATCTTACAAAATCCATGTGATGCATTTTGGTGTTTTTCCTCAGCAATAGTTCGTTGACATTTTTATCCCCTTTTAATGTTTTGAAAAGAATAATGTGACTAAAAATTTTGTGACTTGAATTTTAGGGAAAATTGATAATTTTTCCAGCTACAAAAATTATGTCACCTGTTCATTACTTGTTAATGTTGTAATTCTTTGCTGTCGTTTTTCATGGGGGCAGCATTTATTTTTAAATTGTCATTTAAAAGTTGAAAGTTTATTACAATTAGTAAACAGCCTCACAAAATAAAAAAAACAAAACAAAACAAAACATGGTTGTGATTACAAGGATTCTTTATGTTAGTGCATTTAACCAGAGACTTGAAGAGATGCATGTATGGGGCATTGTAAGTACAAGGCAGGAAGGCACCATTTTGAGACCTGGAAAATACTTTGTAGTGAGAATCTTGAACAGTGAAGCACTGTTGACTTTTGTTTTCTAAGTATGCTGGACAGACAGAAAGGCTTAGGTAAGAAACAGTGCCTCTTACAGTGTGTCCATTTCCAGAAACTAGTACCTTAGGCTTATGAATATCTAATTGCTCTATTTGCTTTTTAATGTTTTATGCTTAAGTCCAAACAATGCTTTTGGGGGTTTAATTTTGGATATACACTTTAAACAAATAATACAAGATTTTACCCTTGTCTGTCTGCTGTCCTTGATAGTAGCCTAATTTTATTCATGTTAAGTTTTTACACACCATAAGGTTCCCTCAGTCTTAGAAGGAAAGCCTCTCTGGGTATCTTTTGTAATGTGTTAACACTATATGGTAGTACTTCATTTAGTAAGTACTTCATAGTCTATTGATAAGAATGAAAGATGTAAACGGGGGGGGGGAAGTATAAGTGAAATTATAAGTTAGCAGAAGTAAAGTCACAGGTGACACTTGTGTGAGCATTTTGTTGTCAAATCGTCTAACATAACCATTGTATCAGTGTTATTCAGGATAACTGCTAAAAAATAGCCAAGCCAAGAGTTGGACCTTGGTTTAATTCTAAGTTAGGACTCTAGAGCTTGTCTATGACCCATGCAAATGGATATGATTTTCCATTTAAATCTGTCACTGTACTTCATTTGCATGAAGCAATGGTTGTAATGTGGAAATGTATCTTAGTCTGGAATTCTGCGTGTTTTTATTGGCCCATATTTAATGATACCAACCTCAGGTAGGAAGCAAGGATAATGATGGCTTTTATTTTTGAATATGTCCATTTAAAGGAAAATATACTCTAAAATGCCTAGTATGTAGGTTGCTCAAGGTAAGTTATTAAATTCTGCACTTAAAAATCCTTTCCTTATTGGATGGTTTTCTGTAACATGACTAATAAGAGACCCAGAGACAGATACTGGGGTCAAACTGAAGATGAGAGAAGCAGAGAAGCTAGTCACTAGCTCTTACCTCTACCTTAGGCTGAAAGGGCTGTGCTGTCCTCAACACGGCTGGAGAATAACTGCCTAAGACTGACTTCGCTTCTTCCTTCTATGCCACTCCAACCATATCACTACTACTGTCTCCATCTCCTTAATGCTGGTATTAAAAGTGTAATCCCAAGTGCTGAGATCACCTTTGAGCTGTTTCTCTTATAGACTGGATCAATTTTGTGTAGCCTCAGTGTGACCTTGAACTAACAGATCCGTCTGCCTCTGTCTCCCAAGTCCTGGATTAAAGGTATGTACCACTAACACCTGGCCTCTATGGCTAGTATGGATGCTTGGATTAAAGATGTGTATCACCACTGTCTGGCACTGTGGCTGTGGCTAGCTTTGCATTTTGATCTGCAGTGGCTTTATTAAATAGTTGATCACCAGTTTCCTATGCCAAATCATTTGTACAGAAGGTGTAGGACAGACACAGAATGACAGTGAATGTAATGATTGGTCATGAAGCTAACTCTTGGGAGAACTTAAAACATTTAATAACTCTTAGAAATGGCACATTTGTAAACTTGATATAAGTAATTTAATCCCTGATGTTTGGGTCTAACTTGATCCTGAGTGTGCCATACTGAAATGACTTGAAGTGTTAGACTTTCAAGTACACAAGAAGCTCCGAGGAGTGTATGCTGTGTTGCTAGTTAATGAAATCAAGTTCAACATTCTAATTAAGTTTACAGCTCATATAGCATGAAACTTTAACGTGCACAGATCTTACAATGTGAAAAGTTGAAACCCTGAGTCTCCAGATCCTTTTGCTGTTGTTGATTTCTCAATGAGTCTTTACCAAGATCTACTGTGGTGTGTGAGGCACTCTTAAGCCCTGATGCTTCAGGTCTTAGAAACATTGAGTTTCCTAAGTTAAAATTTGTGGAACAAAACTAAACTCGGGCATCAAACAAAAGTGTGTAGATAATTCACCTGGAAAACTTGAGGTGGTGCCTTAGAGTACCAATTTAGGGGCTTTATTGGGTGCATTTAATACAACTGATGATAATTGCAAAATCCACTTCACCAGTGTAAGTGAAAGTATAGATACCTTGTTGGCTCTGAGATTCTGCACTTTATTCAGTATATGTTTTATCTTCATTCTAGCTCTGAGCCACATTCTTTTATTTCCTGTTCATTATGTTTTAATTCTGAGGACCATATGAAGCAGAGAATGTATTTTTTTAAAAATTGCAAAAATTTATATAGCAAATGGTTTTAAGTTGATAGTCAAATGTTAACATGTTATTTTCATATCATATAATCTTGTCGCAATCTACCTAATGAAGTTTGATTATGTTTCACTGAAAATTATCTCCTAAAGTAGTACCCCCCCCCCCCCCCCGGGAAAGCAGGGAGTGTAAATTACTACAATTAATTTATGTGGTACAGAATTTCATGCAAATCAAATGTGCCAGCAGTGACTTAAATGTATTAAAAGACAAATGCAGCTTCTAGGACCCAGTTTCTTTTACTGATTAAAAAACAAGGAAAATAAGAAAAGGCCTGGAAAAACAAATGTATGCAAAGTCCCACTGATAGACTATTGCCTGTGTTTTTAATGACTTCATGTACCATCTCCAATGGTGTGTACAGAGTGGGCATAACTTTGCAAGTTGAATTTGGATCTTGATTTTTCTTGTCATTTTGGTGAAAGTTTGTATTGGCTTATAGTGTCCTTGTTACTGAAACAGCATGTACAGAAAAGTAACATGTATATTGGTGTATATGTTATGTACATATTCTTTACTGTTTGCACAAAAATATCAGGTATCAACATCTATGGAGTTAATAGTTCTCTGTTAGCCTAATGTTTTAAAGGTAGAATCATAGACAAAACAGTAGTGAGAAGCTTAGCTAAAGAACAAAATGTGGAGTGAGATAAAATTCAGTGTGTTCCAATGCAGCTCTAGAAGAGGTACAATACAGCGTGTGTAACAGCAAGAAGACATCGAGACTATGATGTTTAAATGAAATGGGTGGGAGAGAAACTGAAGAAGATTCAATTTCAGAATTCAGAAATTCATTTTTGCATCATTCCTAAGAAAAGCTTTTTTTTTTTTTTTTTTTTTTTTTTTTAAGCAAAGATATGTATTCCTGTTAGAAGGCATCCATCTATATTCAGCTGGCTTGAGCCCATTAAAAGAACAGTTTATTTCAAGGGAGTGAAGGTTTGTTGTCACAAAGGTTAGAGAAGAGTACTACAAACTAAAAGGCAGTTCAAGAAGGGGAGTGACCCTACCCTAATTGCTCTTAAGAAAAGCTTGGAGTAGAGAGTTGCCCCATCTGAAGTTTATGCTTTTGTAGAGCAAGGTGAGGCTCTAGGACTGCTATGCTTGGGAACAATTACCTAGGTTATTTAACAAAATGGGCTCATAGTCAGAGGTTACATTTGTCTCAGCGAAGCTATTGTTAATCTTCATTGGGAGAGTAGTGTCAGTCATGACATCTCTACAGTAGAAAGGCAAACTATGGTGTCTGAATTAAGTATTGTCACTAAGAGAAAGTGAGCTTAGAAACCTAATTGAGTGACTTATACTAGTCCAAATTTAGTTAGCAGTATTAGATAACCAAGTAAAAAAGCAAGTGCCCACTGATTGAGTTTGGAATTTGTTCCACTAGAACCATGGGTTATGAAGTGACTTGGGATAGCAGAAATTGAAATTTGTATAGCCGACTTAGCAAATTATAACCGTTAAGTATAGGCCACTGATCTATCAGTTGTCAATCATGATGGTTTGATGGGGTTCTATTTTTAGCCATTGGTTTGAAGAGAGTTTATATGCTTGAATATTAAGGTAACTTCCAGAAGAATGTAATATTCTTGATTTCCTAGTTCCCCAGTTTTAATTTTTGGGTTATTATTCAGTAATGAGCATTCATAGAATTATCCAGTAAAAAAGTTAGATAGGTGTCAGCTTGGCTCACATATTACGTATAAGTATATAAAACCCACAAGCTCTTAAAATCCGACTTCAGTTTTTAAGGTTAATGAATCAGAAACTCCCTCTGGCTCTAACAC